GACCCAGGCGACATGGAGGCGACGGGCGATGACCCAGGCGACATGGAGGCGACGGCAGCTGACCCAGGCGACATGGAGGCGACGGGCGATGACCCAGGCGACATGGAGGCGACGGCAGCTGACCCAGGCGACATGGAGGCGACGGGCGATGACCCAGGCGACATGGAGGCGACGGCAGCTGACCCAGGCGACATGGAGGCGACGGGCGATGACCCAGGCGACATGGAGGCGACGGCAGCCGACCCAGGCGACATGGAGGCGACGGGCGATGACCCAGGCGACATGGAGGCGACGGCAGCCGACCCAGGCGACATGGAGGCGACGGCAGCCGACCCAGGTGACATGGGGGCGACGGGCGATGATCCAGGTGACATGGAGGCGACGGGCGATGATCCAGGCGACATGGAGGTGACGGGCGACGTGGAGGCAACAGCAACCGACCCAGATGACGTGGAGGGGGTGGCAGCCGACCCACGAGCCTTGAGGATCACCGACCCAGGAGTCACCATCGGAACTGCCGACACCAGGACCACCGACTCCAAGACCACCGATTGTGGAGCCACCGAGACCACCGGCTGTAGATCCACCACCGGAACCACCGACTCCAGGACCACCGATTGTGGAGCCACCGACTCCTGGACCACCGACTCCTGGACCACCAACTCTGGAACCATCGACTCCTGGACCACCAACTCAGGAACAGACTCAGTAGGCCCAGAAGACTCAGGAGGCCCAGAAGACTCAGGAGGCCCAGCAGACTCAGGAGGCCCAGCAGACTCAGGAGGCCCAGCAGACTCAGGAGGCCCAGCAGACTCAGAAGGCCCAGCAGACTCAGAAGGCCCAGCAGACTCAGAAGGCCCAACAGACTCAGAAGGCCCAGCAGACTCAGAAGGCCCAGCAGACTCAGAAGGCCCAGCAGACTCAGAAGGCCCAGCAGTCTTAGGAGGGGTGTGTAGCGTTTTCCTACCTCAATTTATGATTTCTGATGGACACAACTTGTTATGACTGTTTGGTGAAAGATATCAGATATATTTTTCAGACTTCTGTTAAAGCATCTTGCATGACCCTGTGCTTCAAATTAACATATCAACCATCACCATGGCGCCTCAGAAGACCACTGAAAGAATTTACATTGTCACATTCCTGCCCAACCCCCGTAAGGACAAGCCTTTTCACTTTCTTCAAAGGAAAAGGGGGTTGGTGTTAACAATTGCTTTGCCAGAACCCTCTCAGCATGACTTGAACAAAAGGAGCCCCATGCTTGAGTGAATAAAGAGGAAAACTACCCTGTTCTTTTTAAACTGTGTTTGCCACTAAGAAAAGTGTTATAAATGTGTGTTTTATTGATGAAATGTTTTTCTGAAAAAGATGTTTCTTTAAACTGTGTGATTACATGAGTTAATCTTTAAACTTTAGGCTTGAATTTAACTAAATGGACATTGGGCCTCATGCAAGAACATGTTCGTATTCTTATCCTAAATTTCTCTTACTTTTGTTCGTACAAAGGGTTCGTACGAACATGCC